TCAACACGGTAGGATAAGTCACTATGTCAATGAATAACCTGACTTACGTTTCGTCCCCAATGATCCTAGCAGCTAGCTTGATCCATCTATCAACATCTCCGGGATTCTCCAACACAGCCGCCTCCAATTCCAAAATACCCTCCCCCGTGTAGTATCTCTCAGAATTGTCCCCACCCAGAGGGACTACGTGCAGACCCCCGGCCGGCTTGCTGCCCCGGGGGACGGTGGGCAGGTCTATATCGTCATCCACGGGGTTGGGGTGGTCTGCTGGGGTCTGTCGTGGTGTCCAAGCCCTTGGCTGAGCTATAACCCCTTTGGAACCTATGAGAAAATGCATCCCCATATTAATAGGAAAATGCGCTTGGACTATTGGCCAATTTATTTTCCCACTTTCGATGTGCAGAGTTCCAAAAGAAATCTGAAAACTACATACCGGCAATTTTCCTGAACTTTCCAGGACTAAAACTGTGACAATTTCAATAACATTTGACATCATTTTGCAGGGCAAAGCTGTTTGGTATAATGGACTTGAAGACTGTCCCAGAAAATACTACAGACTGATGATGTGGCCTGAAAATTTATCACTATTCCGTTCTCACATCATAAGCAGTCAATCAAAAATAAACCTTGCATGATCTCGGTGTCCGTGACTTTTCCTTTACATTTTCCTCTAACAAGATTCCAGAACAACATATATTTCCTCGATTTTTCTGACTTTTCCTTGACTTTCCGGAACAAATCTCCACCCCAGTATAATTAAGGGTTTTTGCATGATCGTGGGAGCCCTCAGCTTGGAAACTAAACACAAAGTAAGCCCATTATGCAAAGCCATTTCCAGCAGCAGGTCCAAATTGAAACCGCAAGTGCATGATGAATAGAATGTATGTGTCGTATGCACTGATCCTCACAGTTGTCGATCGCGGTTGTCGACGTCTCCCAGAATGAAGGGGTTAAAACTTATGGTCCCTCCGCGGCCGGAAATGGACCTGCATTGGGTCAAAAGGTCTCAACTCAAGGGATCAAACTCACGGAACTGAAACCTGCAAGCTTTTAAAAATTGGAAAAAACCTACAAATTGCCTTCAGATCCTTCCGACTCTGCAGAAATTATCAATTGCCAGATGGCACCTGAATTGAAGATCTGTAGAGTTACATGTCGTTGGTTGCATCATGAACTGACCTATCGTGGATAGTTACTGTACCATTAACTCTTGTATCATGAGTGCAAAGTCTACGGATGGTATGTCACTTCCTGGTGCACCAAAACTATCCTGTACGTAACTTCGTGGTGAAACATGTAACGTATGCCTTAAAACCAAACAAGGAATTGAAGTAACAGGGAAACTAAAGACAGCTGCTATTTCACGTCCTGTTACTTTCTAAAAGGCATCCCTGGGAAAGCAGACGTGTGGTGTAAGAGCTGACAGCACTAGAGCAGAGGCTTTGCTTAGATTACGGTTGTATGTCGCAATGGCATGCAATCATCGGAGACCCAGTTCCCACCTAGGGCTTCACATATTTCTTGACGTTGCAAAGTTCACTTGGAGACTGACAAGTTGTGCTTAAACTTGCACTCTGACTTGATTGTGACGGGTTATATGTTTGCTTTCATAAAAGTGCTAAGTGTTTATAAGAATTGACAATGCATTACACAGAGGAAAATATCCATTTATAAATACTGTTAAACGTTTACTGAACAATCTGGGAAGTCGCAGCCTGAAGAAGTTTCTTACCCTTCTTGGTTTGAGTGAGCACGGCGTTGGCAAAGGCCCTGCAGAGCGCTTCCCTCTGCCGCTTGGCCGTCTCTGGCCTCTTGCTGTTCTTGACAGCCTTGTTGACGTAGTCCTCCACACGTTGCAGCCGCTTCTCCGGGTCCTGCCAGTCCCTGCTGGCCGCTATGACAGGCGTGTAGGCCAGGATGTCCGCGTAGATCTCGTGGTCGCTCAGCTCGTAGTCCTTTTGGTGTTGCCTGAGATGGGGGGGAGGGGGAAACAGATTTGAAGCTTGGAGTGTTGGAGCTGTGACTGATAAGGTTTGTGAGCGACATCATTGGAATAATCTCTCTTGTTAAGGAGGGTGGTTTGATATGAGAACCAACAGCTAGTTCTTGAAAACAACCACAACACGCAGGTCGTAACACTAATCCCTGCGATCTCTTCACAAAGGGAACCAGGCAAGTTCTAGCAGACCGATGGCGCCAGCTATGCCACGTGACCTACAGTAGGAATCAAACATCAACAAACATGGCGTCCTACTATAGCAAAGTGTGTCATAAGTGTCCTTGACCAAAAGAAATGCCGATTTTCGGTACAGCGGTCAGCACATCAGCAGTCTGAGCACTTCATGGACTGTCGGCTTTATTTTTGGTAAACAACACTTGGAAAGACACCATATTTGTTGATGTTTGACATCCACCATAGGTCACATGACTAATAATGGGTGCAAATCGGTCTATAATTCAGAAAAATGTTACTAGGCCACGTTTCCCACATCTTACACTGCATAAAGGAGAAAACAAGGCAGTTAATATCCAATTTCATAAGCAAGTGGGGCTGGTGGTTGCCTGCCACTTTTCACTACCCAAACGCCCCGTCAATCTCAACTCAATGAGATGCTGTGAGGTGCAAGATGAGCCAAAGTCCCTGCGACACAGCGGAATTGAGTAGTCAATGGAAGCAGCCCACAGAAATGAGCGAGCCAGATCCAACGATATGAGTCTTGCGGCCAAGGGAGGGTATTAGCTTGCATTTCAAAAGAGCAAACTCAGATCTTTGTTTCGATGTATCGCTGGGTTTCACATCCTGATGAAAACAGACATTATGCGGGTGAAAAGTGTCGAGGGTCCGAAGTAATACAGTGCCCACAATTTATTAAAGGCCTTTATTCAGAAGTGGCTTTGGCAACTTTGACTCATTTGAGGAGTGACATGAAATTACTGACTGTCCAGGCACTGGGCCCGGTATGCTAATCCCTTCCACCTTGATTAGTATGAAGCCAGATGCAGCCTGGTTACCGAAGCGTAACCCCTCCATTAGGTCTGAACTGGTGACTAAGGGTTTGAACACGAGGAAACAAAGCGTGAAGACTGGCCATTGTTGGGGTGATCAGTTCGCCCAATGGGCTCACTGCCGAGGGGAAAGACGGGGCTCAACATGTCCCCAATTGCTCTTTTTGTGATCAGCCAGAGTGCGACACAGAGACCCAGTGGAGTGATTCCGGCCCGCTCGGTTCAATCCAAAGTCCCAATCCCTTTTGAGATGAACGGCCGGGCTCAGCCCAGACGGTCCGGGAAGGGATTCTGATTTGACGACGTGACTTTAATAGTCGCACATGTTCTATGCAGCAAAATATTCTACATTGCACCTCTGCTTGAAGTAGAACTTACCAGGGGCAGTCGTCGTCATTGCAGGTCCCGTTGAGTTCAAACTGACACAGCGCCCTCGTGGGGTCCAGCTTGTGGCTGAACGACGGGGACAGCCTCGAAAACTTGGCTTCCTTGACAAAGAACGGACTCAACCTGTACAACAAATGGAAAAGGGGTACAAATGGGACCACCAATGTGCTTTATAGGAAAGAGTGGAACCAAAATTAAATGTCGTGTGTACGTAATGGGCCAGAGCTCTGTCAAGGTTAATCTCACAGAGCTCTGGCCCAGTTTAGGAAATGTGCTTGTCTCAAAGCAGCACGTTACAATTAAATATTAAAAGTTATAAGATATCTTCAATGCAAGGGTTTCACTGAAAACATCTTTAAGCTGAATTATAATGCAATTTATATATAAGCTTTTTAATGTAATAAAGTATACTATAATGAAATTAAATATTACTAAATATATGAAATATATATAATAATATTTAAATATATAATAAATATACTAACACTAAACTTTTTTATTTAACAGAAAAGGAATCATACATGATAAGAGAAGATCTTTTTTTACCTGTAAGAGCGAAAGCAGAGAAGAGGACTTGTGTATGGTGCAAGGCTGGCGTCTCTTTCGTCATCTTCATCTTGATCAGTTCTCGCGGTATCTTTGATGATGCTCATCTTCACATCCGAGGTCCGTCTTGAGAAGTTAGCATGGAGACCTGCGGCTGCGTCTGACTCGAGTCCGAAATGTGCGGCAAGTAGAGAGGTGCCCAGGGCCGCCTTGGCTTTCTCCGCATGGGCACACCGCAGTCGCGCCACCTGCTCGTCGCCGGGCAGCGACATCCCTTCCACGACGGGCGGAATTTTGCTCAGAGGTTTTGCGGAAATGGAGGCTTCTGACTGGCTGGAATTTTTCTGATTCTCAGCTTTGCCATTGGCTTTGCCGGAAGTGGAAGACTTCAGGCTATCGGTGGGATTGAGGACGTGGTCGGAGGAAGCTCTGGAGTTGTTGTGGATAGACTTGTCCTGGCTATGGTTTGGTTTGGATGACGGTGGTTGGCTGCTTCGAGTCCTGGCTAGGAGATTTGGTCTCAGGGATGGATTATCGTCCAGGAAAGAGCGCCTCCGCTTGGAATCTTTCCGAGAGCGCAGGTACTTCTCAGCGTCGCTCTCGCTGTCTGTGTTTGTCGGGGTGTCGCCACCAAAAGCGATCTTGTCCTTCGTTAGGAGTTGCGTGGACGGCTTCTGGTTCAAGAGCTTCGTCTTGGTTTTGAGGAATTGAACGACAGCGTTCGGAACGGGGTTGGCTCTTTTGGCAGCCTGTCGGGAATTTGCTTCACGGAGCTTTGAGATCTGCTTGGCGTACTCGCGCTCCAACCGCTGCAAACGCTGAAGTTCTGTCTCAGGCTTCTTCAACATCGGGCTCTATTGGACAAATATGAAGTTTGAAAGTTTTTAGCCGAAAACTTTAACAAGGAAAAACACACGTTTTCAAAAAACTTTGAAAACAAATGACATTTACATTCTGTTAAAAAATAGATTGCAGCAAATCTGCTTCGGTGGAGCTTGATTTAGGATCATTTAAAATAAACCTAAAATCCTAAAATATAAAGGCCTCCGTTATACCAGCAATAGGCACTAGGTAATACAGTCAACGCAAAACAATACCATATGAATAAATCAAACTTCACAGATATGATATATATCCTATTCAACTTTGTTGTGGTTTTGACTTTGTTCTGTGTCCCAGAAAAACTTATAGGCCTTTTACATGTGCTGTCTTAAGACAAAAAGGGAACGTTTCCGTCTATGGCTTTGCATCATAAATGTTGATGGTACTTTGGCAGGACGACATCCGGCAAGTTAGAAGTTCTAAGGACATGGGTCTAAAACCCAGGAGAATACAACCCTACAACAGACCCACAGTGTCAGAAAAGCTAGAGACTTTGTGTGATAGCCATCTCACAGGATGGTTCTTTTGTTCTACAGGGAAACTTCCTTTGTGCATATCCTGTGGAACAAAAGCACTGGCCTTCAAGATGGCAGCCATGCAAACCCTTTACAGAACATAATACAACTTAAGTGATACTTTGGTCTTACGTTCGAATGAAAAACAGTGTTTTAACATAATTTCAGTATTTTAGGAAAGGTTTGACAGAATATGGCACATTATAAAATAACACCTACGTTTGGCACTGATTTAAGCTTTGGCCTTCCACCAATGGGACTTCCTGTCAGAGGAAGCCTGGACGCAGCTTCCAACAGCATTGGTGATTGGCTGATACTTGTGACGGGAACACCCTTGGACTTGGCAAGATCGGCTATCAGAGCAGTCTCCTTTGTCAAGTGCTCTTGGACCTTCCTCTGGAGGAGATGTTTCTGAGAAAATAACCAGAAAAACAGAAAATCATTGTTTGATTTAGGAGCAGTGGGAAGGAGTGATTCTGTCTCATAAAAAAGCTCTTTCCTCAACCACTGTAGTTAAGCTATGTGGACTTCATTCAGGGGTCAGCCATCTTGAAATCTAAAGTGATTTCAACTCTTCAGTTTTCTCACTCGAAGGTAGAAGTAAAAACACTAAAATGAAATTCCATGACAAATCAGAACCTGTCTACTCCGATGAATAATTTCACGAGATACGGCATACCGCAGGGCAAAGACCAATGGTATTTCTCCAGTTTCAATGCACTCGGCTGTGTTCCTTCCCTTCTGCACGGGATTAAATAAATCCAATAGGCCCGTCTCCCGCGGCAGAACTCCAAGCTCAAGCGAGCACCGAGGGAAGGACTGGAGCTCATTGGAAGTTCCATTGTCTGCGTCCTTTGTGATGTTAATTACCCATTCCCCGGTGCGCATGCACGCCCTCAACGGCAGCAGTATGTGAAACATGGCAAGTTATGATACCTATATAACATGTACAAGGCCGGTTCGAGCATACGCGAACACAAAATTTGTGATGGTGGGCAACTTTTCGTTTTGAATACAGGTAAACTCTGGTGAATGCCACAGCGAGGGCCTCATGTAAAACTGCACTGCATTCTTATGGTGCATAAATATGTCTGGCAACTATGGGAGAGTGGACTTTGGCACCGTAATAATTTTTAGAAAATAAGCCGTGGCTTGTACGTTGATTCTGACGCTGAAAAATGTCTCTGCAGCTTACACAAATAATCCTGCAGCACTGCCCGAAGCAACAGCGCCCTCAAAATCAGTCTAAAGGGAAAAATCCAGTATTGTACAAGTCCGCGTACCACCAAAACTGGGCCCTTTTTGTGACAATTCTTTCATGCTGTTTGTTTCTTTCGGTGCACACCGCGGAGAGACAGCGCAAAGCACCTTGCTCTCGCGCTTGGCCGGGGCCGGCCAGCCTGGGTTTTCCCGTTTGACCACATAATCATTCCTTTTTAATTGCTCAAGGGTGTACCATTATGTATTTCAAAATGTTCAAGCATAAAAATAAATCACAAAATGAAACTTCTGTTTTTGTTTGTCTTCTCATTCCCTTGCCTTTCCTTTTTTTACACCTTTTGAAATTCGAGTGAGGTTTTAGTGAGGGCATTCCCAGTGTCGCCATGTCCATTATACACAGGCTATGATTGGGCAGTTAGCATGTGAGCAGGGCGCGAGCGCTGCAATTGGGCAGGCGGCGGCAGCCAGGCTTTAGCCGCGGCATGCACAAAGCTTCCTTCAATTCGGTCACATGACCACCAGAAAGAATCAACGACTGGACTGCAAGCGTGGGAGCTACATTTGGGCCGTGACAGCAATCGGGCTTGCTTGAGAGCTAGGACTGGAGTCAGAGGCAGCACGTAGGGAGAATTGAAACTGTGAGGATCTCATAATTCGCAAAATGTTGCCTCGTGGTACCTTGTTTTCATTTTGCATAGCCTAAAATGTATGATGATTAAAAACACACAAATTTTTTTCCATCGTGTTGAATCTTTTAACCCCTTCGCTATGGGGGACTGCTACTACCGCACAGTTGTGTGAGGATTAGTGCATAGCACGCATACAGTCTATTCACCACGCAGCTGCTGGTTCAATGGGGCCTGCTGCAGGACAAAGCCCTCCATTCAGGGCATGCCACTGCCCAGCAGTCGCGGTCAGAATAATCCCGCTGTGAAGGGGTTAAGAGTGGTAGACAAATATCACCAGCTTTTTCATCAAGCAGTAAGAATACGGCTGTTTCACAATAGTGCGCCACCAAGAGTTTGCAACGCGTTGGCCAATCAATGCGCGTTTGGAGAGGGTCGACAACTTTCGTGTGTTATGATTGGTCAGAGTGTTGCAAACTCTTGGTGGCGCACTATTGTGAATCGCCCGTATTCTTGCTACGCTCATATTACAAGCTCGGGGTAGTGCATGTAGTTCTTTACCAGCTATTTGAAGAAGTTTCTGCCGTTACGCTTGGAGATCTTGTGCATGTATGCAGTATACAGAATAATCACTGCATTTGATACAACCAATACTACAATGTCCAAGAATACGCACAACTAGCTAGGCTTCGTTCAGATTGCAGCATGTAGCCCCAATGCGCTGGCCTGGCCCGGCCCAGCCCGGCCCAGCCGCACGGACAACGTTAACCAAGCAGCCGGCTTTTGCATTCGCAAGCCTTAAGTAAAAGGGTCGGCGTTGATCATGTGTTCTTTCCAGACACCGAAAATTGTGTTTATTATTTTCAACAAATGATCATCATAAAGTCAAAATTTAGTCAAGTCATGACCAGTTGCAAATCAAGTTCCTTCAAGTCAAGTCCAAAGTCATTTTTTTCCAAGTCAAGTCTCGAGTAAAAATCGAAAAACAAAAATAGCGATTCGAGTCATTACCAGAAAATTCAATCAACTTTCGGTAAGTACCCAAATAAAAGCTTTTTCGAGAACAAGTTTTATTATAAAAGCACATGTAACTCTACTTTCCTCGACTTCTTGATTTGTTGATCATTAACATGGTAAAAATCTAAACGCATCTACCAACTACAAGTATACCTCATCTGCAAGAGAAATAGGCCAATCGTAACCATTCTCCGAGACTCCCTTGGGCCAGCGTTTCGTTAATTAATGGGATATGAAATGTGAGGTTTCCAGGCCTATCATCATCGCCACACAGATCTATTGTATTGACGTGCGGAGGGTATCAAGCCTGACCGTTTCTTCGAGCTACTGTTATGCAGTTTTAGGTGATCCTGTGTTCTGAACGGGGCCAGTGCGAATGCACGGGTACGGGCAGGAAAGAACAAGGGGCCCGTTCCTCCTGTGCGCCTGTGTTGGAACGGGAAATATACTTTTGATCCTTGCCATTAGTGTTTTAAGCCATATTTTGAAAAATATTACAAGGGAGGCTTGGAAAGCACACAATCATAAAAAGTCTGTTACCACTGATATCAAAGAGTTAACAATTTATTAAACAGATTCAGGGAACCAGATAAAAGCTGGCTCCCTCATGAATAAGGCCTATAGCGCCCTCGCCAGCATGTGAACTGTCGTATGAATTACCTGCTGCACGTATTTCTTGATCTGGGTGCGGTGGGAGGCGGCGAGTCTCTCCCCCACGGCGAGCTCATCCCTCAGCTGCTGCAGTCTGGCCTCGGTCTGCTTCAGCAGCAGCTGGCGCTTCTGGAGCTGTCGTTCCACGGCCGTCAGTATCCGGCAGTCCTTCTCGGCTGTCAGCCTGCGGAGAAAGTGGCGCCCGAGAGCTGGTGATTCTCACGAGATTGACAAGGGGCATGAAGACTTTGAGAGATCTGGAAAGATTAGGGTCAAAGGTCAGGGCTCAAGATGCCACACCTGTACTTGGTGAGATTTGCTTGACGTTCAAGGACTTCCGGACTATGCTTGGTGGAACTCTGAGGTGTATCCTTCTGAGTCTCTAGTACTTTCTCCTTGGCTTGTGTCGTCTCTGCCTCTTTTGCCTTAGGGTTCTTTAAGACAACCATCCTCTGTTCTTGACCGTCAACCTGGTGACAACACAATTAAAAAAAGAAAAAACTTTTAACGTACCTTCACTTTGAAATCAGAACCCTTTTTCTGGGTCAACAAAGTCAATTCAAGGTGTGATGCGAATCTCACATTTGGTTTCTTAGTCCACGAGCAAAACCTTGATATTAAAACTTCTAAAAATAAAGACTTTGAGGTAAAATAATCAAGAAATACAGGAAAATACTGAGAAGTTGGTAATGTGAGTTATTAAACCAATTTCTGGTGATCAACAAACTTATTTCTCTTCAACGGTAGACAGCAGCCTACCTTTGTGACACTGATGGTGACATCTCGGATCGGTGACTGTGTCCCGGGACTGGTTCCCTGCGGGGCAGCCAGCCGGCCCAATCGCTGCTGCTCCCGCCGGGCGATCTCCTCCTTCAGCTTCTGGTACTCAGCCCGGTGGACCTCGGGTAAGCTATGCATGGCATCCGGGGTCTTGGGCACCTGTGAAACTGCAGGTCGCTGCTGGGCTTGCGATTTCTTCGCCTGGGTGTTATGAGAGACCAGGTTTTCACTCTGTGAGTACTCCTTTTGGCAAGAGACAAACCACCGCTCTGAGCATCATTGTGACACTTTACTTCTGGATTCCTCCAACAAAGGTTTTGCATGGCTGCCATCTTGCAGGCCAGTGCTTTTGTTCCACAGGGTGTGCACAAAAGAGGCTTCTCTGTGGAACAAAAGAATTGCCCTGCAAGATGGCTACCACGCAAAGCCTGTATACAAACACAAACAACTTTCAAACGAACAAGTAAAATCAATCATTTTTGATTCGGTAGCCCTTAGAAAGAAGTCTTTGCTTCAATGCGTCGGTCAGTTTGGTGACCCAATGAAACTTGGCCACATCCAGACAAAATGTTGAGGGTTCCTATCCGCCCCGAGTTGAAGTGTACCCTTTCTGGCAAAGGAAAGATGTGGGAGGGGGGGAGTTTTTCAACTGGATTCCTGCAAGGCTACCAGCACAGCCTGCTAGCAGAACTGTACGTTCCAATACGGATGGGTCACGCATGCTGAGCATATCGCTACCTAAATATACATACATCTGTGCTACACACTGGCTTCCCACCAAAGGACCGTCATTTCTGTGTAAAAACACGCTCTCTAGTTCCTGTTTGGAGCAGATTGATTTCCACCGTGCAAGGTACTTTTCACGGCGCTAATACTCAAAATGGCTCTGGTGACTTTGCTACGTTGGGCCGCATAAGTTAAGAACGCGCAGGGTACCAATTTGTTGTGGATGCAAATGCAGCCGCCTGTCTGGTAAACAAACTGCCGGTTCGCTTACGTCCGCAGTTCGTCTGGCCTCCTTCAGGAACTGGTCCAGGAAGTTGATCTGCTTCAGTTGGGGCTTCTGCGGTGAGAGCTCATCCTCGCTGGAGTCGCTGTCTCCATCAAACTTGATGACCACGGGCTTATGGGTGGGAATCTGGAGAAAGTCAAAGCAACTTGGGGACTAAAATTCTGTGTTGGAAACAATTTGTAATTCGTCCGCATCAACTCGACTACGTGGAAACGTGGCGTAACGGTTCGGGTTTGCAGCGTTTGATCGTAGGGCCGGGGGCTTCGAATCCTGGCAGATTGTTCCGCGTTGTGACCTTGGCCTTGTTACTTCACCCCTATGTGCCTCTCTCCACCCAGGAGGAAATGGGGTACCAGTGAGGGCGGATATGGTTGTGTCTAGCCGTTTGTGCCTTGATATGGCAGCACCGGGCTGGTATACTCCCCAGGGAGCTGAGTTGATCTCAGAAAGGTTCAGATGATGTGTGCCCAATGCATATGACTCGTCTGTTTCTGTTGTTGCTTTGTTATTGTTTACTTGTTTTGGATGTTGTTTTGTTCTTGTTGTTTTCTAGTTGTTTTCTAATTGTTTTCTTGTTTTTTAAGTTGTTTTCTGCTTATTGTTGTCTTCTCATTGTTTTCGTGTTTTCTTGTTGTTTTCTTGTTGCTTTGTTGTTGTCTTCTTGTTGTTTACTTGTTATTTGGTTGTTTTCTTGTTGTTGTCTTCTCGTTTTTGTGTTGCTTTCTTGTTTGTTTTCTTGTTGCTTTGTTGTTGTCTTCTCGTTGTTTACTTGTTATTTGGTTGTTTTCTTGTTGTTGCTTTGTTGTTGTTTTCTTGTTGTCTTTTTGTTGTTTTCTTGTTGAAGCAAAACAACTACTACTATTATTACTACAACTAGCACTTGACTCAATTCAGAAACTGCTTACTGCTGGCAGTGCCACTTTTGGCTTTGCCTTTCCGACTGGCTGCTTGGGAAGCCCCTGGATCAGACTCGTCGTTGGAGATTGGGTCCTCGGGGTGGACAGAGGGGAGGCGTAGACCTTGGGAGACGAGGAGGTGGGGGTCGCATCCTCGCCGAGAGGGGTGGACATGCTGGACATGGCCGGCTGGATGGGAGATGGGTGGTAGGTCGGGCCGTGAACAGAAGGCTCCTCTGGGGTGTACTCCTCCTGCTGAACCTGTTGAGAGAAAAATTCCTTGAAGGGGCTTGGTGATTGGTGGATCCTGTGGCCGGTTACAAGCTGTGTCCTTGGGCAACCAATTGTACCCACATGCGCATGCCACCCTTCTATCCAGGAGTGTGAATGGGTAGCTAATGGAGCTCCCAGGGCTGAGAAAATTCTGTAACCACTTGTGGGAAAGCTGAGATGATGTCAGGAATGTTCAGATGCTATGAGTCATGAGCCCTACTATTAAGCTGTGTCTTTGAATGGCACACAACGTGAGATGTAACATCATTTTCTTTCCACCTGAGGTTGAATACTAGTATTCAAAGATGTGAAGAGCAACTATGAAAATGGAAATTGGTGTTCCCATATTTACCCTCACAAAGCAGGTGATCTGACAAGATCAATTTTTGAGTGGCTAAGTAAAATCACCATAGCTGTCCTTTAATACTGGGAAAAAAGTCTGAAATCAAAGCTGCAAAGGAACATTTCACAAGTGCCCAAAGATAGAGAATGTACAAAACAAGTATCTTTTTAGGGGAAACGAAGGTTTTGTACACCGAGTTGAAGCCTACCTCAGTTTGCTCCTTGGCTTGGGCCCGGGCGGCTCTCTTGGTTGCTAGGGAACGGAGGAGCTGCTCCCTCAATGCCATAACATCCTCTTCCTCCTCGTCCTTGTCATGCTCCGCATCGGCCTCGTCTTCCTTGTTGCCTGTGGCAGCGGCCTCGGCAGCTCCCGGAGTGGAGTTGCTGGTGCTGCTGGGGGCATCTGGGTCCGAGCTGGTGACGGCTTGTACCTGTTTGGGAGACGTGGAAAATGATTTCACACTCGGTAGAAGAGCACAAAATTTTCCAACACCACATCGTTTACTGACTGTGGTATTCCATTTTAGATTTTTACGGCCAAAATCATCACAACTTTCTCTCCCAATAACCCCATGCTCATCTGCAGTTGCTGTCCAGTCACTCCTTAATGTTCATAGCCATTTTGTAGAAGTTTGAGCAACATCATTCATTTTGATGCTATTTGTTTGGTTTTTCTGGCTTCCTGATTTGTCCTAATAATAACTCGAAAACTGACTGGCAAAAGGCTTCTCTAGACAAGATGCTCGAAACCAAGAAACTTGTTCAGGTTGAAAATGTTGTGCAGAAACAGTTGTTTGAACAACACGCTGTATAGAGTGTAGATCCAATGCTCAACTTTACTCCAAGTTTATTCAACACAGGCAAAAAGTTCCCCAGGTTAGGCTTATTCATACAAACGGGTAATGCCAAGTCCATGCAAGTTGGGGCGAAAATATAGCACCGTTAATACGAGGCGAGGTGGTAAACAACACTTGTGACAAGTCACACAAACATGACAAAGCCTTCACTAAAGTCCTCCAAACTGACGTCAAATGATTGCGGTGCTTGAGATACAGAATCATAAAAACTGGTGCTTAACGAGAGTGATGACCATTGCCTGTGATCTTCAGACACGAACCACAATCTACAAAATCTGAGCATGTGCCGACAACTTCACGAATGTGATACAGGTACAAAAGTACAGGGCAAAGTGTGACCTTTGAACTCATGAACGTATAAAGTGCATTAAAGGAACAGTGCTAATCTTAAAGATGCCGCAACACTTTCACGGGTTGGATGAAAAAAAAACGCTCACACGTTCAAAAATAAGAAAGTATCCACCCACTGAACACCACTCCAAAGTACAAACTACACAATGATACTTCCAAAAAAGTTCCCCTATCAATTGTTTTGGGCAGAAGAAAATGTACTGCTAAAAGTAGAATCATAAATTCAAATGTACTCACATCTGAGGTTAGATCTAGAGTCTCGGCAACTGGAGTCAAGGCTACAAGAGAAATAAAAAATCACATCAAATCTTTTACATCATAAAGGAAGGACACGGAAGGAGTTTGAACTGCCCGGGCTACAACATCTGGCTAATTATCGCTTTCTGGTACGCCCAGTGTGTCCATAGCCAGAGTACAGCAAGCGCTTGCTATGTACCATCTGTTTCACAAGCGTGAAGCCCCTTTGTACCCCATGATCGCCGCTGCAATCTTTTGCTAGTAATCTGCATCCTTAAAACTTTGTGTACAAAGGTATAGGACATTGAATATTCATGCCTTTGTTGGTACTTGGTATGATCTCCTGACAACATCAAATTTAATGCTTGTATATGTACAGTCATTGCCCTGAATGAGCTCTTTCTTCTGGAATTATTTTGGGAATAAGTAGCCCGGTTGTTTACAAGTTTTCGTTTTTGTTTGAATCATTTGTACTGCGTCATTTGTACAAAAGCGGATTTTACGAGATTTCACGATCACTCCCTGTGATGAAATAGCACATTTTGTCCTTTATGAACTTACCTGGTCAGTAATGGTCAACATTCTGTTGGCCAGTCTCAGCCAAAATCTGTACCAAGTCTTTGAAAACCGATGTATCGGAATAATCGAAGAGAGAACAAAATTACAAACTTTGCTTGGACGCAGTGGATCCAAATAAAAGTTTATTCATGATGGCAAAAGTAGGTCCAACATCAGGGATTTTTCTCTATTTCCTGCTCACAGCAAGAATTTGTATTTAATTGCAAGCAAAACACTGCTAGTATTTCTTGGATATTGCTGGCCCTGCTTGTCTGGCTAAGCTGCAGGCAGCAGTCGGGCAGTGTTGGAATGTTTACTGTTGTTCGTTTGACGGGGCGGCGATGATCCCCGAGAACTTTAAGTGCCAGAGTTGCAACACCTTCTGTGTCCTTCCTCTGTGGTTGTATGTACGAGTACGGAACTAGGCGCACAAACGACCGAGAATTCTTTACCGTAAAGTTTATTAACAACTTGAAAATTTCCACTGGAATACGAAAAAGCAATCTTCAAATTCTTTTTGGTCCTATCTGCCCCCTGATAAGATTTGCCCCCTCCCCTCAAAAATCTAATCCTGGACCCATCTTGGAACCTCATCCCAACCCGACCTCGTCCCCCTTTTGGCCTCTCACATGGGGATTCCTCCATTTCGCTGACTTCCATCTCCACCTCCTCGTAGTTGTCGTACTGGAACTCTCTGGGTGCGTCCCCGCTGCTAGAGGCCGCGTCTTTCTGGGAGAACTCCCCGACTACAGAGGGCGACCTTCTCGCGCTTTTCTGTTGAAAAACAAAATCATCATTGTTTTATTCCGACCTTCCCCAAATCTTTCAACATTGTTCTTTGACAATAAGTGCAGGATTTGAAAGGGTTGTGGATTTGCGACGAGAACTTGTCGCTGATTCAGAAGGATGGCACCGGTGGTATTCTCAACGATGAACAAATATAGGCTTTGTTGACACTGGACATTATCTGAACTGCACCATGATGGTTTTCATGCTGCCTCGAGTTAATTAGATTAACCATATCCTGCTGGGGAGTCCGGTTTTGGGTACCTTGGGTTTGTACGCATGGCCAGGGTGCCTGAAATCGGACAAAAGAGCTGTGGGCCTTGTAACAAAAGAACGTATTCGGAACAAAAGACCGAGTTGCTTGGAACTGCCAACTTTTTTTCAGTTGTCAATAGCACAAATGTTTTGAAAGATTATACCACTGTTTGTGGCATTCAGCGCGAGCGGATTACCAGCCGGGACAAAAGCGCTCCAGCACTCCAGTGATGAGCGATTCAACACCACTGCACGCTAATCTGGTCCGTATTGAAAAGACACCAGCAGCGCACTGTGCCAGTTTCGGGAACAAAAGAAACTTATGTAACACCACACAATCTGGGCTCTTTTTACAAGGCAGCAGGCCTGACTGAAATACTCTGGCATGTTGTCTGTCAGAATAGAGTAGCAACCAGACAGTCACTCCATGGGGTTTAGGTACTCAGGGAAAAAAGATAAGAATTTTTGAAGATTTTTGAAAACCAAAGATATTGAAAAATCGCTCGTAAGTAGGCACAGCATTTATAAAAGCATCTGGCAGGAAATGATTGAGGGACGACACTGGTATCAGTGGGGGTGTGAGTGGCCACTTATAATTAAAGCTGAAAACAGCTAGCAAAAACAGGAAACGTAAAAAGTTTCTCATACTTTTGTACAGACCAGGTGAACAAAAAAAGCTGAAAGCAGATAACAAGCTGGATTCTAGCACCCCTATAATCTGGCATGCAAGTTGGGAGTCACAAAATTAGAAGTTCCAAGCTGGAAAAGAACTTTGTACATTGGTTTTCAATTGCTGATGGCAAACATGATACTTGGAAACTGAACTTTGAAAAGATCGGCTGATATGAAGAAAAGCTGCCTTCCTGAGCTTGTTTTTTCTTGTGCAGCAGCCTCCATGAAACATGGGTTGAAACAGGCTGTTGGTTCCCATTTGGGCACAAACACCGTTCCTTAGTAGTTTCCAGTGGGAACAGCAGGTGCTCTTGAATGGAACATGCCATGCTCTTGTCACAACATTGTAAAGCTTTCTGACAAGACACTCCCTGATACCAATCCAACTGATCTCTCTGATTTTATTCTCTTAGGAGGGTTTTTTTTCTCGAGGCGAGGAAGAGAGAAATTACCCCTGGGGTTGACGTCGCACTCCGGCGCTGTTTCATGATGAAGTCCATGAACTGGGTAAAGCGCTCCTGCTCCCCGTGGACTTTGAAGATCTCGGCAGCGATGCTCTGCTTGTGGAAGAGCTGTTTGACCTTCTGGCGTCGCTCCCTCTGTTTGGCTCGCTTGGACTCTGCACCGACAATTTTCAAAGAGGCTTTGGTTGGTTGACGTGAACAATCACAATGAACTATGCCTTTGTAGGATGCTATGGCTGAACGGTGAGATGGTGAATAAACATGTACAGTAACAGACTTGATCTGAGACAATTCAAAACTGTTGTCAAAGGGTCAAATAAACATAAGTGAACACCACACTGTGGGGAAACGTTGGCGCTCGGTCACCACAATATGAATTTATAGTCAGAAATTAGATGTTTTCGCAACTGTTATGTCTGTCTGACCAAAAGCACATACTGTCCGACAACCTGTCCAAAGGAGATAAATTATGAAGATATTAAGTCTTGAAAAGCACAGTCCTGTTGGTGGGTTGTACTCTGGCTTTCGTGCTCACGACATTGACACTTGGAGAGAGAGCATTCTCCTCTGAACTTGGCATATGTCTGATCAATATCTGAGAATGGCAGAATGAAATTAATCTCGCCAGTGCATTCTGTCAGAAGTTTACTGGCCTAGTTTCACATTCTGTGGTGACACTGTTACATTAGAATTAGGCACAGATCAAAATTATCGCACATGTACCTATTCCATGCTCACCAAAAACTGCCGAGACCACAAGCATGGGGCTGGTTAGCTCTGTTGTAGAAGAGTGCCCTGGAGTTTGGAGGTTCAAATCCTTCCCAGCCCAATTCTGTATTCGTATCAATTTTACTGAGCATTTTTTAAATAGCCAGCTTCAAAGATCGCAGATTCAAGTCTTGCTCCTTCCCAATTCTTTTTGTCAAGTTTTGGGTTTTTGATAATTTCTTTAAGCTCAGTGTTTTCAGTGGTTCCTGGTTCCAATCTGAACCAGTCAATTTCTTTGTTCGTCTTATCAATTTCAAACAAGCAAAATTCTGTTAGCTCAGGGTGTTCCGTGGTTGACTGGTTGCTTTTTCAATGCCCGTCCCGGTCAATTTCGTTCGCCCATGTTCATTTGTCATTTCATTTGTCATTTCATTTGTCATTTCATTTGTCATTTCATTTGTACCTGACATTCTGTCAGCTCGGTGTTTGTGGGCCTTGTTCTCTTTCTCTTCCCTGGCTGCGACATTCTTGGTGGCCGACTCCAAGGCTAGCCGCCTCAGCTGCAGGAGCTCATCGTCGTCTTCGTCATCATCAGGAATCTCGATGATTTCCTTATTGGCTTGATTCTTGACCTGCTTCAAGGAGAAAGAAATATTCAAGATAAATCAGATTTTAGAGAGAAAATAACACAATACGGACACAGCTTGCTGGCTACAAACAAAGCCTTATTCTAGAAGA